TGTGTGATTCAAACCCCTTCAAACACAGGCAATAAAAAAACGATTCATTTTATAAAAAAAAGTTACATATAGGACCTTTAAGGTTAGCGGTTCCTCAAATCCCTGACCCTAAGCAATAGTAATAGTGATAAGAAAGGTCTTCAAATACATATTTGCTAATCTCAAGTAACTCAAAACAGGAGCCGCCCTGCTGCTAAAGAGGCCAGTGCAGCATCTGCATGGCACACAGGTCCCCAAAACTGTGACCTGATTAGTTTTCAAGCGGTCCACCACGCCGAGAGCCACATCCGCAGTCTTCCAGACCCCCAGTGCTGCAGTTGTGGAGGATACAGCTTACATAATGAGCATCCACACTGCAAGCAAATCCCAGTGCAGTTGACTGCAGACAGAACTGTGATACCAGCCCTTTAAGTTTCCCAGCACTGCACCACAACTTGCGCACAGTGACAGACAGGGTGTAGACACCTGGAGGGACAACTTCAAGGGAACACAAGGGTTGAATCCCACCGTGGCAGGATGCATGACAAAAAGAGACGGTCAGAGAAGTTGCATGCACACATACATCCGTCAAACCAACAAGGAGGATGCAACACCCGCATCAGTCCCACTTCCACAAAGGACTAATCCATCCCGAGCACATCAGCTGTCTGATTAAAAATGAATCCAACATCAATAAGTAAGCAGTGCCACCTCAGCTTACACTCTTTGCGGTCCACACACACACACAGTTGCACTCACTTGCACCTCAGACCGCTGGCTAGTTTCACCACAGCTGTGTTGAGCGAAAAGATCCAATCCAGGAGCCACATGGCAGAGGAGGACGGCGTGGGGCAGGACGGTATTGTGTGAGCCAGAGTTAAACCACAGATGTGACTTTCTATCTCCCAGAGTGTGTGTGCCTGTTCTCCGCTCACCGGCCGCCTCAACGCTACCGATCCGACTGGAGCGCAAGAGGGAGGGCAAGAGAAACAGGAGCAGAGGAGGAGGGTGATAAGTGAGTGAAAACTCACTCTCGCCAAACACGGTGTGGCATAAACGCAGTCGATGACAGATTCACATGAAGAAAAGTCACACACTCACTCCGCCTCTCTCCTGCAGGATCTGTCCATCTGACATGTCGTATTTCAAGGACACAAGCAGACCCCAGAGGGCATGTTCCCTTCTGCTCGGGCTTCACCTGAGCATTCAGTAGACGAAAGTGTGCGTGTGTGTGAGAATAAAATGCATCGGGCTTGATGGCTGTCACAAAGCACTGTTATGTAACAGCTCTCTTCAGGGCAGGCAAGTGGTCGTCCAGTATTTAAGAGACACACACTGTATTTCTTCAGATTACATGATCATCAGAATTTTAGGATGTATTTTTGCTACTGATCTCCATTACGTTTGCTTCTCTGATTCTGAAGCGTTTTATTATCATTGTTATTATTTTACTTGTTTTAAAGGGGACATATCACACAAAATCCACTTCTTTTTTAGCCCTTAAATGCATTTTGTTGTATATTTGGAGTGTTTATGAGTACAGAAAAGATTAAATTATTCTCTTCAGGTGATTCGTTTATATCTTTATATTCTGTTTGTCATATTTTTCAACCTGTTCAGATTTTTCTGTTCTGTACGACGTTTTTTTGAACAATTACGTGATGGTATTTGCAGCGGAACTGACAAATAAGGACATCGACTAGCGGCCCAATACTTCGAGCAATCCTCCATTATTATTTCTCGCTCCGATTTTGTAGTCCGAGCTCAATGATGCAGAAGTTACGAGAGGGCAAGTCAAAATGTTCGGTTGTTGGATGTACGTTAGTGACCTGAAGCACTTCAAGGATTCCCACTTCAACAACCTCCGCCAGTATAAAGAAGGGTTTGCCGATCGACTTCGTCTGAATGAGAGGTAAATTCCTTCTATCTTTGGAGACGACGAACAGAGCATTTCGATAAGCTGTAAATATCGATAATAAAAATAAAGTACTTTACTTTCTTAAAACACATGGTGGTCATGGTTTAGCAGTACCTTTGTCTTTGTTTTTGTTTTGAAGTAACGTTACACGTCTGCAGTATTATTGTTCTTGAGTTTCATCAATGGTCATTTAGCTGCTTTTCTGATGCTTTTCTAAACGCATCATATTATCAATACAGATTTTTAGTGGTAAGATTAAACCGTAGTCATTTATCTTGTTAGTGTGCTTGTTTTAACACGAGAAATAATCAACTTTCACTTCATGGTGCGTTCATGTGCTATGGTAAATATGGCAAATACCAAAAGCCGATGTGGAAAATGCACATGAACACCCCCTCACGTGGTATTTTCCAATGGGCAACTCAGAATATTTTGATGGACAAATTGCCGAGATGAGATAACCTTTGACCATTTTAAAATGGCGGAGAGCACTGCGAGAGTCGTGAATGGTAAAAATATGTACTATTCATGATCTAGAAAATATATAGCATATTATTTACCGTTTGAGTTTTGATAAATCATTTTCTTGCTGTTGAACTTTAAAAGCACACTATTTTTAACAATTAAAATAACAGTCAAGGGTATAAAAAATTATTTCCCAAAAATTAAACGGAATTTGGGAAAAACTAAAACATCATAGGGCCCTACCATATGAATGAATGGAAAACACTCGCTCTCCTCCACGCCAGTGCACGCACCGGAAGCGATTTAAAGATTTTAAGCTTGTTCAAAGTGCAAGCTAACACTGTCATCAACACAAATCGACACAAATATAACATACTAATTATTTTTAGTGATGCACTTTTTTTTTTTTTAACGAAATCAAAATTTAATTTAATTTAACTGGAGCAGTACAATCGTTTTTTAAAACAAGAAACAATTTTTTACATTTAAATAAATAGGCCTATCATACATATTAATGTACTGTTTTACTGTAAATAAAGTAGGCCACTCTTATTATATATAAATATATTATAAAAGTATATATATATTGCCCTCAGAAGCAAACCACTTTTTTTTTGCTTCTGGTTTTTACGAAAAAGAAAATGAAGTGCTTGATGTTAAAATTATAATTAAACAACCACGAAAAAGATCTCGATGCGTTACTCACGCGCACAGAAAGATGCTTTTCTCAGACAGCATGCGATCCCGAATTCAGTTCTCTTTAGCGGCATATACCGGCGGTTATTTAAATATATGTCTTAGCGAGTATTTACATAGTCGGTTTTGTCTGAAGTGAATGTAAAAAATGAGGGCTGGGCAACGATTAATCGCATCCAAAATAAAAGTTTGTGTTTACATAATATATGTGCGTGTACGGTGTATAATTATTTTGTATATAAAGATTCACACACATGCGTGTATATATTTGAGAAAAAATTGTTATTAATATATACAATTTTAATATAAATTATGTATAAATATATACACATTATATACATGCAAATATTTCTTAAATATATACATGCATGTGGGTATTTATATACACAAAGTAATTATACAATACACACTACACACACATCAATTATGTGAACACAAACTTTTATTTTGGATCAGCCCTAAAAAAAAAACTGATGTCATTATATTACACCCGTGCATTAGATCCGTGTCATTATTACTGTAAAACAAACAACAAAAAAATGGGAATCACTCACTGTTCTTGACTGAATAACTTTTGTAGCTTTAATAATAATCAATTTATTTGTAATTAATACACTGACTATGCATGCAGTGATTATTTTTACATTTTACATACATTCCAATCGCCTCAATAGTCGTTGCTCTGCTGTTTGTGCACTCCATATTAGCACGGTTTTGTTGTTTGTACTCTTATTACAGTCCTTTTATACTCTGTATTTGATATTTGACTGAAACGTTTTTTTTTTTATTTGGTGTTATTATTGTGTTTTAAGAGTATGGTTGCATTTGTACTGTTCCGTCTTCTCAAGTCATCACGTTGTGTGTGAGGTTAGGAAACAGAGAGCGGGTAAGTAAGTCTTGCCAAGTACTTTGTGCACCACATAGGAATTCCAGTTCTATTAGACATACTAGTTTTAGGAGAGAGTGATTTGTTTATCTGGTTAGTCAGCATAGTTAAGTTAGGGTGTTTTAATACTGAAGACTTTTCTACATTTAGTTATGATGAATAATCCGTCACACCACAGCAAAGAACGTCAACTATAACAAACTACATTTAATGCTTTGCAAAACCAAAACAACAAAAAAAAGATGCATAAACTAAAAGATTGATTCTTTGGATTTAAGAATCTCTAATCTAAAATAAATAAATAATGCCTTTAATTCATATATATATATGAAGTGTTCAGATGCAAAAGCCTCTAAATGCCATTTGAAATTTTCTTCTTTAATGATGATTTTTATCAAACTTGTATATTTAAGTTCAGTAATTTCACTTAAATGGCAATGATAATTACCTATTAATTGTTATTTTAGTGAAATTACTGAACTTAAATATACAAGTTTGATAAAAATCATCATTAAAGAAGAAAATTTCAAATGGCATTTAGAGGCTTTTGCATCTGAACTCTTCATATATATATATATATATATAAAAAGACATGTTAGCTGCTAAATAGATAAATAAAAGACATGTTACATCTACGTCATTCATCGTGCCAAGCGTTACTCTTGTGGCGTGAGTCGGCTTGTGTAGGCCGTCTGCCGGAAGCCAGTTATTTCAGTTGATAAAGTTTTAAATAGGGATATTTTTCTTACACAAACACATCGCTTTGCTTCAGAAAAAGGGCTTTATTAACCAGCAAGAGCCATGCAGATTTACTTTTATCATGGATGTATGCTTTTTTATGGACTTCAAAACAGAAACAACCATTCACTGCCATTATTACGCCAAAAAGACAGGACATTTTTTAATATAACTCTGATTGTTAGTCTGAAACACATTTTTATTACTTTCCACCACTGTTTCTACCCACTGATGTTTTGGAATAATCTTCCGATCTCCTTGGAGTGTTTTCATGACTTTATATTGAGAATTATACGTATACAAACTGGATTTACTCACTTTTTGGAGGGTTTCTTGGTTTTGGTCCTTTTCTTCCTCGCCTGAAGTGCAAGTACTGTCAGAGAACAGAAGAATTAATTTGAGCATGCAAATAATAATCTGCAAGTAGTATGCATGATAGTCTTCTAGTCTACAATACATACTTCTATGTATGTTACAGCTGAAATTAATATCTTTCATAAGTCCAGTATTTTTTATGTCGTCCCAAAACCATTACCAAATCATGGTAATCATAGTGTTTGGTTACACTTTATTTTGATGGTCGAAAAGGGATAGTTCACTTTGAAATTAATTTTTGGTATGTTTTAGCTTACCTCAAGGGCATCCATAGTTTCAATTTTGATATTTTTAGGTCAAACCGTTCTTGTCTGTCAGTCATATAATGGAGGTCTAGGGTCACCACCTCGAAGAGCATGCACAGAGAAGTCCAAATTAAACATGATTTAATGACTCGTAAATGTAAGTACACATTGATGGCCTAAGACACGAAACGAACGGTTTGTGTGAGTGTACGTCACACATTGTTTATAGGGAGATTTCATAAGTGTTATCCTTCACCGTGAAGATCTAAACATATTTAGATATACAGGAAATTGCAGACAGAAGCGCCTGCGCCCTCAGATCACTTGGACGTGACTGTGGTTACAAGAGGTAAAAATTATATATATACTGTTCGTTTTCTCGCACAAACCGCTTGTTTCGTGTCTTAGACCATCAATGTGTACTTACATTTACGAGTCATTAAATCATGTTTAATTTGGACTTCTCTGTGCATGCTCTTTGAGGTGGTGACCATAGACCTCCATTATATTACTGACAAACAAGAACGGTTTGACCTAAAAATATCAAAATTGAAAATACTGTGGAAACAAAGACACCTACATCTTGGATGCCCTTGAGGTAAGATAAAACATATCAAGAATTAATTTCAAAGTGAACTATCCCTTTAAGACATTGTACGAACTATGAGCAACTTTACAACCAAATCGTTCACAACTGTTAGTTTAGGGCTCGGGTTAGTAGAATAAGCTAAAACGTACTTGCAAAATTAAGTTTAAGTCAAAGTGGACCATTGAAAAAATTAAGTGTTAACGTACCTAGTTTTCAAGATAACACTGCCGTTACTACAGATAATACTGTGGTGACTTCGTTTAAACCAAAACTGTCATCAACATAATATTAACCAAAATATTCGAAAAGCTTGTTATATTGTTCCAATATTGCCTAATATTTACTTCAAGTTTTACAGTAGTCACTAATTTGGCGGTAACCATAATCTGAAAAAAAAATATTTTAATTGATTCATTTGTAATTTTTTGGCGGTTTTATCAGTTTGCACTGTTAGCATTTTGACGACACAAACAACATCAAAACGAGAGTTTTCAATAATCACAGCACTGTTTTACAGTCATTAAAATAAACATATATTTTTTGAACGAGCCAAAACAAGAGAAAGTTCAGCTAGCAGAAGCACACACGAACGATGCTACAAGAATAACGATTTAACAACAACCAACTTACCGACAATCAGAAACGAGCAACCTATTATTACGTTACCCATAACAAGCAACAAAAGTCCAGATATTCCACATAATATGAGCAGATGTAACGTTACGTTAAAGCTAGAGTAACGTTACTGTTGTTAACGTTATATTAGCAGCAGCTAAACACATGGGCTTTGTCTCTGTCAAACACACTAGCACCTCTCCTAACGCGCCTGTTCACAACACGGATATGACTCAGTCTGAGTGCGATATTTATTTCTATTTACATGTGTATTATTGATACAAACTATTTTGGATGACAGTAATTAAGTCGTTTTGATGCTCACCTTTCCTTTCCATGCTGCACCGGCGGCTAAGAGCTCAGATTCTCTCTCACATGTAACGGTCCCGCGCATGCGCACAAAACTTGCCAAACAACAACTGAACCAAACAACAGAAGTACAGTATCACACCCACATGTACACACGACACGAGTCCCCGCATAGAGGAGATGTCAAACAGTCGAGTTATAGTTGTTGCGTAAACAAGGGAGCATTTAAACCACACTGTAATTGGTCTCTTGTATAGTATAGTATAGTATAGTAGTATAGTATGCATTCAGCCAACGACATAAAATAAATATTAAATCAGCAGAAAAGCTATTACATAGTCAATAATACAATAGCTTTAAAAACAGATATGTTGTGGTAGATGTATAAGTATTGCATCATTCAGACAAAAAAGCATTCTTCTCAAATCAGGATGCTATTGTGACAACTTGCCCCAGATGCATGTCACACAGTTAATTTTATTTATTTATTTTTCTTCCCGGGGCTACAATAGCGAGAAAATACTCCAAGACTTTAAACACACATTGTACTCTGCATACATTTTACTCTCATCACCTTATTTTTACTAATTTCTTTGAGTGTACCTTTGGTGTCACGAGAGGTTAAAACATGTCTTATAATTGCAATGGTTTGTGGTAATCTTCAATACATATTTTTATTTAACATTATCCCACACCTTGTACTATGAGAAATTACCACTTGGTGGCAGTGCTTCCAAAGAATAGTTTGTCCTGACGACGCAACTCTACATTTATTTAAAATGTAGTATTTATTGTTTTAAAATATAAAACCGTTATGTGCAAAAGAAATACAAAAGAATGAGTGTTGTGAAAAATAATTGCCTTTATTTCAGTATAGCAGTGGTTGTTCACAGACCACATAACTTATGGGTGACTAAAGAAAAAATGGTTAGATGCACAAAAAAGTGATACAATGATCTCTTTTTTATGTAAAATGGTTCCATGCGACAAACTGAAATATTTTGCTGCTCTGATTGACACGTTTAGTGATTCTCCACTCCTCAGGAAACTGTAAAATGCGCATAAATACACACCCCTCACATATAACAATACATGCTCAACACATAAAATATTGCTGAATAAAATTAAGTGATAATATACAGTGAAAAAGAAAACACCTTAAAAACAATCTGGTACAATAAGTTAGATGCCGGCTGCGCTTGAGAGTCTGGGCTGTTAAATCAAGATCAACGGAATAGCAGAGTATTGGCTCAGGTTCTTTCATTGTTGCAAACATGAACTTCCAGGCTGTACATCTTTCCCAGGGCAAACAATAATAAAGGGGAATAATCATTTTATCGTGGGCCATAATGCAACCGTCTCTCACTCGCAAAGTTGTTCTGTTGACAATTCCCTTTTCACACCCATTTCTCTTCATTTACATAAATAATAAATGAAGGAAAATGGCAGGGAGAGAAACTACGCTCTAGTCTAGCTAGATGATCAGCTGCCTTTAACATGGAGTTAATTCTGGGAAAAAGCAGGCAGATAAAAAGGATGGATCGCACAAAACCAGTTAAAAACATGTCCAAATCCCATTTAATCCCAAAATAAAATAAAATAAAATACATTTATATATATATATATATAAAAAGGAAGCATATCTTTAAAACCTTTTGCATTTTGACATGACTTTCATGATTTAAAAAAAAACATTATTGTCAATGCCGAGTCCCATTACCGCAACATAAAGCATTACAACAAGATGGACAAAATAATGTTCCATTGAAATAATAAATCTAATTTTTGTTGCATTACGGTAATGAGTCTCCGAGTCTCATTACCGCAACACAGTATTAGAGGATTTTTTTTAATTTAAAATTTAAATCTATAAGCATTACAACAAATATTATCATGATGGACAAAATAATGTTCCACTGAAATAATAAATCAAATTTTTGTTGCATTACGGTAATGAGTCTCCGAGTCTCATTACCGTAATACAGTATCAGAGGATTTTTTTAAATTAAAATTTAAATCTATAAAGCATTACAACAAATATTATCATGATGGACAAAATAATGTTCCACTGAAATAATAAATCTAATTTTTGTTGCATTACGGTAATGAGTCTCACAAGTCTCATTACCGCAATACAGTATTAGAGGATTTTTTTTAATTAAAATTTTAATCTATAAAGCATTACAACAAAATATTATCATGATGGACAAAATAATGTTCCATTGAAATAATAAATCAAATTTTTGTCCAGTGCATAAGAGCAATGAGATTTTGTTGCATTACGGTAATGAGCACCCAGTCGTGAGGTAAAATGAATGAATCATTAATATATTAACAATATAATAACATTATTATTGGTTCTCAAAATAGCTGTTTTCTCTTTTTTCTTCTGATTTTGGGTTTGTCTATTCTAAAGAGGATTTGCCCATTTTAATGAATTCTTGCACTGAGCACCAATATCTAAATATTTTCCCATATTATATATTTCCGTGTATCGATATTTCGTGACTGTTCTCGATGCAGTTGGCAGAAGAACACAGCGTCCGTTTACATTCTACACACGGCACGAAATATTAATTACAATCTCTTTACGTGTTCAGATTCACTCTTTAGTTGCTATTTATAACGCGGGTCACATTCTGTGATGTGTGCTTCGCTGCAAATACTAAATAAAACTGTTGGTGCACATTATTTCCATGTATATACAGCTGTGCCATTTTATTTACACATCTAAAACTTAGTATTCTGACAGTGCAGAATTGTTCTGGCCTTTATTTATTGAACAGGCTGCAAGCGGAGTTCGGAAGTAAACGTTTCACTTCCCCAGAGAAAGAATATAAAATGTTTAAAATGCGTTTTGTTTTTCATGAGAATGCACATTTTTCTCTAATTTAAAAAAAAAGCAGTTGATTTTACTGGGGCACAATGCACAAAACATTACATTCTCTGTGTCCTTTAGGAACGTTTGCATGTGTTTTTCCCTCTCATTTTGACGGAGCGTGTATGAAGGCATGGATAAGAACACGGGGAGCCAGCACTTGATGATGGCAGGCACTTGAATGTCATTTTCCTGTACGCTTGATTCTCCTCACGACTCCATCTCGTCTCCGTCGAACATTGGAGGTTCGAAGCTCACCACCTCCTCGTACGTGAGTCCTGTGGGCAAAGACACCGACTGTTGAAAGCACTAGCAACAAGAGCAGGGCGCAGAGGTCGTTCAGTAAAATGGCTTACGTTTCCACTCCTCGATCTCGAGATCGCGGCTCTCGAAGCTCTGGTCGTACGGTTCTGCCTCGGGCTCGTCGTCTGGGTCGTGATACTGGGAGAAGTACGGGTGCGCGAGAGACTCTGACGCAGTGATGCGTTTATCCGTGTCCAGAACCAGCATCTTCTCCAGCAGGTCCACAGCTGAAACACAAAATACAAGCAGCAATTATAATCACAGAAGGGTTTATGAGCGAGTACAGGAAACACTAGAAACGGAAACCAATTGTGTCATTATTAAAGTCGAAAAGAAATTAAGGTTTTTGATGAAAACATTCCAGGATTTTTCTCCATATAATGGACTTCAATGGGAACCAAACGGTTCAAGGTCCAAATCAGAGTTTCAGTGCAGCTTCAAAGGGCTTTAAACGACACCAGATGATGAATAAGGGTCTTATCAAGCGAAACGATCGCTCATTTCATAAATAAATAACAAAGTTTAAGTTTTATAAGCTCAAATGCTCGCCTTGCTCTGTTCTGTGATGAGCGTTCGTGACTCTCCTGTTCGACCTCGTTCATCAAAATGAACAAATCTTTTTTCGAGTCATTTGGTTCGTTTGACTCGAAAAAGATTTGTTCATTTTGATATACGAGTTGAAATGACCAAGGTTTCTTTTGATAAGACCCGTCTGGTGTCGTTTAAAGCCCTTTGAACAGTTTGCACTGAAACTCTCATTTGGACCTTGAACCGTTTGGTTCCCATTGAAGTCCATTATATGGAGAAAAATCCTGGAATGTTTTCATCAAAAACCTTAATTTCTTTTCGACTGAAGAAAGAAAGACGTGGACATCTTGGATGACATGGGGGTGAGTAAATTATCAGCAAAAGTTTTTTTTTTAAAGTTAACTACACCTTTAATGTCTTAATGGTCACATTTGATTAATTTATTGCATCATTGCAGAATAAAACAAAAACGGTAACACTTTACAAAAAGGTTCATTAGTTAACATTAGTAAATGCATTAACTAACACGAACTAACGATGAGCAATGCATTACTTACAGTGTTTATTAAGTTGGCTTGAGAAAGCCAACTTACTGAAATCCTATTTAAACTTATTATTAAGTTGGCTTGAGAAAGCCAACTTACTGAAATCCTATTTAAACTTATTATTATTATTATTATTATTATTCTTCTTACTCAAAATTTTCTGACTCTAACTCCTCCTAGAGCTTTAACTCTACAAACTCCAAACTCGGGTCAGACCTTCAGACTGTTCTGACTTAGTGTGCTATATCTTTTTAGACTGATTCGACTTTCAGATTTCTTAAAAATTAATATTAAAAATCATAAAAATCCCATTGACTTTCATTGCAGCATGGTCAAATTGAGCCAAGACTACGGTGGCCCAATAGCGTACAACAAAAACTCAAATCTAAATTCCCTGAAGCCCTAGACTCAATTAAACTACCATTCTATATGTACTAATGATCTATCTATCTATCTATCTATCTATCTATCTATCTATCTATCTATCTATCTATCTATCTATCTATCTATCTATCTATCTATCTATCTATCTATCTATCTACCTAATCTTTCTTTCTTTCTTTCTAACTAATCTATCCATCTTTCTTTCTTTCTAACAAATCTATCCATCTTTCTTTCTTTCTAACAAATCTATCCATCTTTCTTTCTTTCTAAATAATCTATCCATCTTTCTTTCTAACAAATCTATCCATCTTTCTTTCTAGCAAATCTATCCATCTTTCTTTCTACCCAACTAATCTATCCATCTTTCTTTCTAACAAATCTATCCATCTTTCTTTCTAACTAATCTATCCATCTTTCTTTCTAACAAATCTATCCATCTTTCTTTCTAACTAATCTATCCATCTTTCTTTCTACCTAACAAATCTATCCATCTTTCTTTCTACCTAACAAATCTATCCATCTTTCTTTCTAACAAATCTATCCATCTTTCTTTCTAACTAATCTATCCATCTTTCTTTCTAACAAATCTATCCATCTTTCTTTCTAACAAATCTATCCATCTTTCTTTCTAACAAATCTATCCATCTTTCTTTCTACCTAACACATCTATCCATCTTTCTTTCTAACAAATCTATCCATCTTTCTTTCTAACTAATCTACCCATCTTTCTTTCTAACAAATCTATCCATCTTTCTTTCTACCTAATCTATCCATCTTTCTACCTAACTAATCTATCCATCTTTCTTTCTAACTAATCTATCCATCTTTCTTTCTAACAAATCTATCCATCTTTCTTTCTAACAAATCTATCCATCTTTCTTTCTATCAAATCTATCCATCTTTCTTTCTAACAAATCTATCCATCTTTCTAACAAATCTATCCATCTTTCTTTCTAACAAATCTATCCATCTTTCTTTCTACCTAATCTATCCATCTTTCTACCTAACTAATCTATCCATCTTTCTTTCTAACTAATCTATCCATCTTTCTTTCTAACTAATCTATCCATCTTTCTTTCTAACTAATCTATCCATCTTTCTTTCTAACTAATCTATCCATCTTTCTTTCTAACAAATCTATCCATCTTTCTTTCTATCAAATCTATCCATCTTTCTTTCTATCAAATCTATCCATCTTTCTTTCTAACAAATCTATCCATCTTTCTTTCTTTCTAACAAATCTATCCATCTTTCTTTCTTTCTAACAAATCTATCCATCTTTCTTTCTAACTAATCTATCCATCTTTCTTTCTATCAAATCTATCCATCTTTCTTTCTTTCTAACAAATCTATCCATCTTTCTTTCTTTCTAACAAATCTATCCATCTTTCTTTCTAACAAATCTATCCATCTTTCTTTCTACCTAACTAATCTATCCATCTTTCTTTCTTTCTAACTAATCTATCCATCTTTCTTTCTAACAAATCTATCCATCTTTCTTTCTAACTAGTCTATCCATCTTTCTTTCTACCTAACTAATCTATCCATCTTTCTTTCTACCTAACTAATCTATCAGTCTTTCTTTCTAACAAATCTATCCATCTTTCTTTCTAACTAGTATATCCATCTTTCTTTCTACCTAACTAATCTATCCATCTTTCTTTCTACCTAACTAATCTATCAGTCTTTCTTTCTACTTAACTAATCTATCCATCTTTCTTTCTAACAAATCTATCCATCTTTCTAACATCTTTCATGATGCTAGCTACATGCTAATCATGCTAGCTTCTTGCTAAAAACATGCTAGCATGATGCTAGCAACATGCTAATCATGCTAGCATGATGCTAGCTACATGCTAATCATGCTAGCTTCTTGCTAAAAACATGCTAGCATGATGCTAGCTACATGCTAATCATGCTAGCATGATGCTAGCTACATGCTAATCATGCTAGCGTCTTGCTAAAAACATGCTAGCATGATGCTAGCAACATGCTAATCATGCTAACATGATGATAGCTACATGTTAATCATGTTAGCTTCTTGCTAACAACATGCTAATCATGTTAGCATGATGCTAGCTACATGTTAATCATGTTAGCTTCTTGCTAAAAACATGCTAGCATGATGCTAGCAACATGCTAATCATGCTAGCTTCTTGCTAAAAACATGCTAGCATGATGCTAGCAACATGCTAATCATGCTAGCATGATGTTAGCTACATGCTAATCATGCTAGCTTCTTGCTAAAAACATGCTAGCATGATGCTAGCTACATGCTAATCATGTTATTTTGATGCTAGCTACATGCTAATCATGCTAGCATGATGCTAGCTACATGCTAATCATGCTAGCTTCTTGCTATAACATGCTAGCATGATGCTAGCAACATGCTAATCATGCTAGCATGATGTTAGCTACATGCTAATCATGCTAGCTTCTTGCTAAAAACACGCTAGCATGATGCTAGCTACATGCTAATCATGTTATTTTGATGCTAGCAACATGCTAATCATGCTAGCATGATGCTAGCTACATGCTAATCATGCTAGCATGATGCTAGCTACATGCTAATCATGCTAGCTTCTTGCTAAAACATGCTAGCATGATGCTAGCAACATGTTAATCATGCTAGCATGATGCTAGCTACATGCTAGTCATGCTAGCTTCTTGCTAAAAACATGTTAGCATGATGCTAGCAACATGCTAATCATGCTATTATGATGCTAGCTACATGCTAGTCATGCTAGCTTCTTGCTAAAACATGTTAGCATGATGCTAGCAACATGCTAATCATGCTAGTATGATGCTAGCTACATGCTAGTCATGCTAGCTTCTTGTTAAAAACATGTTAGCATGATGCTAGCAACATGCTAATCATGCTATTATGATGTTAGCTACATGCTAATCATGTTAGCTTCTTGCTAAAACATTTTAGCATGATGCTAGTAACATGCTAATCATGCTAGCATTAAGCTAGCTACATGCTAGTCATGCTAGCTTCTTGTTAAAAACATGCTAGCAACGTGCTAATCATGCTATTATGATTCTAACAACATGCTAATCACGCTAACAACATGTTAATCATCTTAACTACATGCTAATCATATTAGCATCAAGCTAGCTACATGCTAATCATGTTAGCTTCTTGTCAAAAACATCTATCTATCTATCTATCTTTCTTTCTTACTAATCTATCTTTCTAACTAATCTATCCATCTTTCTTTCTTTCTTTCTTTCTTTCTTTCTTTCTTTCTTTCTAATTCCATCTTTAAAACTTCATTCAAACTTCAAGATTATTCAAACGCTCTGGTCTGGCTTTCTCAAGCCAACTTAAAGTTTGTGTCATCAAACTTTTTTTTCTAGTTATTATTATTATTCTTCTTACTCAAAATTTTCTGACTCTAACTCCTCCTAGAGCTTTGACTCTACAAACTCCAAACTCGGGTCAGACCTTCAGACTGTTCTGACTTAGTGTGCTATATCTTTTTAGACTGATTCGACTTTCAGATTTCTTAAAAATTAATATTAAAAATCATAAAAATCCCATTGACTTTCATTGTAGCATGGTCAAATTGAGCCAAGACTACGGTGGCCCAATAGCGTACAACAAAAACTCAAATCTAAATTCCCTGAAGCCCTAGACTCAATTAAACTACCATTCTATATGTACTAATGAACTATCTATCTATCTATCTATCTATCTATCTATCTATCTATCTATCTATCTATCTATCTATCTTTCTTTCTAACAAATCTATCCATCTTTCTTTCTAACAAATCTATCCATCTTTCTTTCTAACAAATCTATCCATCTTTCTTTCTAACTAATCTATCCATCTTTCTTTCTACCTAATCTATCCATCTTTCTTTCTAACAAATCTATCCATCTTTCTTTCTACCTAATCTATCCATCTTTCTTTCTACCTAATCTATCCATCTTTCTTTCTACCTAATCTATCCATCTTTCTTTCTACCTAACTAATCTATCCATCTTTCTTTCTAACAAATCTATCCATCTTTCTTTCTACCTAATCTATCCATCTTTCTTTCTACCTAACTAATCTATCCATCTTTCTTTCTAACAAATCTATCCATCTTTCTTTCTAACAAATCTATCCATCTTTCTTTCTAACAAATCTATCCATCTTTCTTTCTAACTAATCTATCCATCTTTCTTTCTAACAAATCTATCCATCTTTCTTTCTACCTAATCTATCCATCTTTCTTTCTACCTAATCTATCCATCTTTCTTTCTACCTAATCTATCCATCTTTCTTTCTAACAAATCTATCCATCTTTCTTTCTACCTAATCTATCCATCTTTCTTTCTAACAAATCTATCCATCTTTCTTTCTACCTAATCTATCCATCTTTCTTTCTACCTAATCTATCCATCTTTCTTTCTAACAAATCTATCCATCTTTCTTCTACCTAACTAATCTATCCATTTTTCTTTCTAACTAATCTATCCATCTTTCTTTCTAACAAATCTATCCATCTTTCTTTCTACCTAATCTATCCATCTTTCTTTCTAACAAATCTATCCATCTTTCTTTCTACCTAATCTATCCATCTTTCTTTCTACCTAACTAATCTATCCATTTTCTTTCTAACTAATCTATCCATCTTTCTTTCTAACAAATCTATCCATCTTTCTTTCTACCTAATCTATCCATCTTTCTTTCTAACAAATCTATCCATTTTTCTTTCTAACTAATCTATCCATCTTTCTTTCTAACAAATCTATCCATCTTTCTTTCTACATAATCTATCCATCTTTCTTTCTACCTAACTAATCTATCCATTTTTCTTTCTAACAAATCTATCCATCTTTCTTTCTACCTAATCTATCCATCTTTCTTTCTACCTAACTAATCTATCCATCTTTCTTTCTAACAAATCTATCCATCTTTCTTTCTAACAAATCTATCCATCTTTCTTTCTAGCAAATCTATCCATCTTTTTTTCTAACTAATCTATCCATCTTTCTTTCTAACTAATCTATCCATCTTTCTTTCTTACTAATCTATCCATCTTTCTTTCTAACTAATCTATCCATCTTTCTTTCTAAATAATCTATCGTTCTTTCTTTCTAACAAATCTATCGTTCTTTCTTTCTACCTAACTAATCTATCCATCTTTCTTTCTAACAATTCTATACATCTTTCTTTCTAACTAATCTATCCATCTTTCTTTCTAACAAATCTATCGTTCTTTATTCTACCCAAGTAATCTATCCATCTTTCTTTCTAACAATACTTTCTTTCTCTTTCTTTCTTTCTTTCTTTCTTTCTTTCTTTCTTTCTTTCTTTCTTTCTTTCTTTCTTTCTTTCTAACAAATCTATCCATCTTTCTTTCTAACTAATCTATCCAGCTTTCTTTCTAACAAATCTATCCATCTTTCTTTCTAACTAATCTATGCATCTTTCTTCTAAAAAATTCTTTCTTTCTCTTTCGTTCTTTCTTTCTTTCTTGATGCTAATAACATGCTAATCATGCTAGCTTTCTGCTAATCATGTTAGCTTCTTGTTAAAAACATGCTAGCATGATGCTAGCTACATGCTAATCATGCTAGCATGATGCTAGCTACATGCTAATCATGCTAGCTTCTTGCTAAAAACATGCTAGCATGATGCTAGCTACATGCTAATCATGCTAGCATGATGCTAGCTATATGCTAATCATGCTAGCTTCTTGCTAAAACATGCTAGCATGATGTTAGCAACATGCTAATCATGTTATTATGATGCAAGCTACATGCTAATCATGCTAGCATGATGCTAGCTACATGCTAATCATGCTAGCTCCTTGCTAAAACATGCTAGCATGATGTTAGCAACATGCTAATCATGTTATTATGATGCAAGCTACATGCTAATCATGCTAGCATGATGCTAGCTACATGCTAATCATGCTAGCTTCTTGCTAGCAACATGCTAATCATGCTAGCATGATGCTAGCTACATGCTAATCATGCTAGCTTCTTCCTAAAAACATGTTAGCATGATGCTAGCAACATGCTAATCATGCTATTATGATGTTAGCTACATGCTAGTCATGCTAGCTTCTTGCTAAAAACATGCTAATCATGCTAGCTTGATGTTAGCTACATGCTAATCATGTTAGCTTCTTGCTAAAAACATGCTAGCATAATGCTAGCAACATGCTAATCATGCTATTATGATGTTAGCTACATGCTAATCATGCTAGCTTCTTGCTAAAAACATGCTAGCATGATGCTAGCAACATGCTAATCATGCTATTATGATGTTAGCTACATGCTAGTCATGCTAGCTTCTTGCTAAAAACATGCTTATCATGCTAGCTTGATGCTAGCTACATGCTAATGATGGTTAGCTTCTTGCTAAAAAACATGTTAGCTGATGCTAACAACATGCTAATAATGTATTTTATGATGCTAGCTACATGCTAATCATGGTAAGCATGATGCTAAGCTACATGCTAATCATGCTAGCTTCTTGCTAAAAACATGCTAACATGATGCTAGCAACATGCTAATCATGCTAGCATGATGCTAGCTACATGCTAATCATTCTAGCTCTTGCTTAAAACATGCTAGCATGATGCTAGCAACATGCTAATCAGGTTAGCATGATGCTAGCTACATGCTAGTCATTGCTAGCTTCTTGATAAAAACTGTGTTAGCATGATGCTAGCAACATGCTAATCATGCTATTATGATGCTAGCTACATGATGCTAATCATGCTAAAACAACTGCTAATCATCTTAACTACATGCTAATCAAATTAGCATCAAGCTAGCTACATGCTAATCATGTTAGATTCTTGCCGAAAACATCTATCTATCTATCTATCTATCTATCTATCTATCTATCTATCTATCTATCTATATTTCTTTCTAACTAATCTATCCATCTTTCTTTCTTTCTTTCTAATCTATCTTTAAAACTTCATTCAAACTTCAAAACTTCAAACGCTCTGGTCCGGCTTTCTCAAGCCAACTTAAAGTTTGTCATCAAACTTTTTTTTCTAGTTAATCTTTGCTAATGTTAGTTAATACAAATACATCTGTTCATTGTGCGTTCATGTTAGTTCACAGTGCATTAACTAATGTTAACTAATACACTTTGCAATAACACACAATAACCTTTGATTTTAATAACATATTAGTAAATGTTGGAATTAATATTAACTAAGATTAATAAATGCTTAAGAATTATTGTTCATTCTTAGTACATGTTAACTATGAACCTTATTGTAAAGTGTTACCACAAAAACGTATTCACCCCATAAGTACTAGTGCATATTAATCAGAATTTATTGATTTTATTTTTTATATTTCTAATAGTTACAAATTGGGTGGTCAGTAGAATAAAATAAATGCGACTAATGTGTTTTGACTGAAAAGAATGGTAATGACTCTGTAAATACGTTAATTACTCTTAAAGTCACACATTGACGTTATTTCTCGAGTCATGTGGGCCGGTTCTGAAAGATGTCTGGATTTCAGCCGAACGGAGCGGGGGTTTTCATCAGGCCATGGGTTGTATAGAAAGGCAGAATTGTTACCTAATGGATTTGCACCAATAAACACATCTGCAAAGCTCCTCTTGGGCATATACGGAAGAGAGTTGATATAGTTCCTCGCCTGTTGATTAAAAAAATAACATTAAAATATTACACACAATTAAAAAGGAGTCAAAATAAGGGGACAGTAAAGCAAACAAAGATGGCAAAGAGAAAAGCATGACAAGAACAGAACGCTGCAGGGATGACAGATTTCTGAAGGCCGAAACCCGGGAACATGTTAGCATTATCCTGAAGTCAATGAGTTCTTGGTTAAATACCTATAATAAGGTCTGTGGTGAACACAAGATCAGTTTTATTCTACAACATAAAACACATCACTTAAACCTCGCTTGTGATTTTTTGAAAGCTAACTAGTCTCGAAAAAGGCAATTGTTAACAAGTGTCTAAATGGGACTACATAGAGTAAAAGTTGATCCACTTTTTAAACTATTATAACTTAAAATAGAAAAATAAAGAGAAGTCGGAAGTTTAGCGACGGTGCCGTTGAAGTCATGTGACTGTGGTGTAGTTCG